GGACTCTTCTAAATTTATTAAATGTTGTGTACGACACTCAGACATCTGTCTAAGGGTATGGAATATATGTTTGATATGTCTAATTGGTCATGCACCTAATGAGTATGTATAAATAGTTGATTTTACCAAATAGCTATGCATAAGACTACCATTTAATGCATAACATGCTCTATGCTAATTTGTAAATAGCATTTTACCCTAATAAAATAAAATTTAATATTTAAAATCATGAATCTAGCCATGTCCTGTTGTCCAAAATTTAGCCCTATCAATCACTCTAGCTAGAACATCCACAAGCAAAGTAAATAAGAAAGGGGATAAAGGATCCCCCAGTCTAAGGCCTTCAAAAGCCTTGAATGTAGCACCTGCCTTTCCATAACAATAACAAATAAAATTACACAAGGAAACAACCATGAGTCTACTTTCTCCACCTATCCCCACTTTTTTGCAATACTAACTCCAAAACAAACCACTCCACATGATCATATGCTTTTTTCCAAATCAGACTTACAAATGACACATTCCTCACTATATCCTATGCATTCCTCTAATTTGCAATCAAAACCACATCCAAAATCTAATGTCCTTCACATAAAACACATTAAGAGAAAGAAATGGTATCCCCAAAACTGTTCTCAACCTCCTAAACACTTTTGTCAATTTTTGAAAAGAGCTGTGACAAAACCTAATTGGTTTGAAATCCCCAATACTTAATCCCAAGGGGTTAACCTGGTGGCAAGGCCTTGGGTCTTGGCGGTGTGCTCCCTCCAAAATTCATGGATCAAAACCTCTTAGGTGCTAACAATTCCTTGGGGCCATCGGACTAGCGGAAAACCCTTGAATTAATCATGGAGCACTTGCAGAAAACTCCTTGCTAAGAGCTTGTGCACCCTAGAGATTAGTTAGGCTTTGATCCGAATAACCCGGTGCCAATCAAAATAAATAAATAAATCTCCATTACTTAAAAAAATTATCCTTGCTTTGGAATCAAACAAATAAAAGCATTTTGCAAGTATTTACTATGACATTCTCAAAAACTCAACAAAAAATTTCACCAAATCCCCATAACCAAATCCCAACAATCTTGAAAGACAACCATAGTGAAGCCATCGGGTGCCAGAGCCTTATCCCCAACACACTAAAACACTACCACCCTAATCTCCTCATTAAAATGTCTTTCTAACCAACTAGATTTATAAGCCTCAATTGGAAACAACTCCAAACCCTCAATGCACAACCACACCACTCGATGACATTTGACAACCACTCAAAATGAAAACAGAAACAAACAGGCCTGCACTGATATGTTCTTGTATCTAATGTCTAAGAGATGTCCCCATTTATAACATGTATAACATTTTAATTACCTTCAAAAAAAGGAAATGAAATATACCTGCCACGTTCTCTGCATATTACGCATTCGCAAACTCTGCCTCTGAAGAACCTTTTCCATAACAGAGCCATCTAAGAAAGAATCGGGATCATCATCTGGATTTACATCTTCAACCTGATCAGTGGCCTTAGTGTCAACTGAAGTGCCACTGACCCTTTCAGAACTCAACTGCATTCTGTCAAGGTGTTCCTGCAGCAGACCCTCTACTCTCCTTTGCAAGCTTAGTGGGATAACCACCTGCGAAAACAGGGCACAAAAATTCAAATTATCCCATAAAGTGATGAAAGTATACAAATAAAGAATAAAATCCTTCTACCAACAACCAGTAGTTATTACCTCCCTTTGAGGCCGCTTGTCATCGAGATCTGGCCTATAATTGGGAAGAGGAACCTTGCTCGCAACCACCACTTTTCCATACAATTCACTGAACATGCAAATTGGACATCCAAGGAAAATTTTAGTGAATGCTAAGACATTATAAAACTACAAAGGAATATTAAATAATGGTTTCCCTACCAGTAAAGCCCCATCGCACTATCCCTAGTACCTACCTAAATAGACTTTTCAGGCTTTCAGCCAACAAACTAGCCCAGGTCTCCAGCTCTGTTGCCAAACCACATTAAAGATATCTCAAAAAGTCAAACCCAAATGAACTCAAATTTCTTTACACAGGAACAAGTTATCAAAAACATAATTATATAGAAGCGAATCTTCATTGTTCCAAACATTGATCTCTATTACTTTGTAATTTCCAAATTTATTTGGGTTAAATTATTGTACAAAATAATGTGAACAAAACAAAACAAAGCAGAAAAAGTAAATTAAAATCTGCAACAAAAGAATGAGAAACGGAATGTTCAAAGGTTTGTTATAGACAGAGTTTTGTCATTATGGCAGCACCTATGTTACATGGACTCTTCTAAATTTATTAAATGTTGTGTACGACACTCAGACATCTGCGTAAGGGTATGGAATATATGTTTGATATGTCTAATTGGTCATGCACCTAATGAGTATGTATAAATAGTTGATTTTACCAAATAGCTATGCATAAGACTACCATTTAATGCATAACATGCTCTATGCTAATTTGTAAATAGCATTTTACCCTAATAAAATAAAATTTAATATTTAAAAATCATGAATCTAGCCATGTCCTGTTGTCCAAAATTTAGCCCTATCAATCACTCTAGCTAGAACATCCACCAGCAAAGTAAATAAGAAAAGGGATAAAGGATCCCCCAGTCTAAGGCCTTCAAAAGCCTTGAATGTAGCACCTGCCTTTCCATAACAATAACAAATAAAATTACACAAGGAAGCAACCATGAATCTACTTTCTCCACCCATCCATGATCATATACTTTTTTTCCAAATCAGACTTACAAATGACACATTCCTCACTATATCCTAAGCATTCCTCTAATTTGCAATCAAAACCACATCCAAAATCTAATGTCCTTCAATAAAGGCCCATTAAGAGAAAGAAATGGTATCCCCAAAACTATTCTCAGCCTCCTAAACACTTTTGTCAATTTTTGAAAAGAGCTGTGACAAGACCTAATTGGTTTGAAATCCCCAATACTTAATCCCAAGGGGTTAACCTGGTGGCAAGGCCTTGGGTCTTGGGGGTGTGCTCCCTCCAAAATTCATGGATCAAAACCTCTTAGGTGCTAACAATTCCTTGGGGCCATCGGACTAGCGGAAAACCCTTGAATTAATCATGGAGCACTTGCAGAAAACTCCTTGCTAAGAGCTTGTGCACCCTAGAGATTAGTTAGGCTTTGATCCGAATAACCCGGTGCCAATCAAAATAAATAAATAAATCTCCATTACTTAAAAAAATTATCCTTGCTTTGGAATCAAACAAATAAAAGCATTTTGCAAGTATTTACTATGACATTCTCAAAAACTCAACAAAAAATTTCACCAAATCCCCATAACCAAATCCCAACAATCTTGAAAGACAACCATAGTGAAGCCATCGGGTGCCAGAGCCTTATCCCCAACACACTAAAACACTACCACCCTAATCTCCTCATTAAAATGTCTTTCTAACCAACTAGATTTATAAGCCTCAATTGGAAACAACTCCAAACCCTCAATGCACAGGCTATCCCCAGGACCAAACCAAAACAACAATCAGAAAAGGGCTCAACCAAAGAGCGCATAGATATACAGCATTAAAAATAAGTTCATTCCCTACAAAAATTTCATTTTTTTTATAGATACTAGATTGAAAATTGAGAAAGAAAGGGTATGAATTCCCAAGTCAAACCTGATTTTGTGCAATTGCTTGGAGCAGCCTTTCCTTCTCCTTGAATGCAGGCAGAGATCTCCGAAAGTCTAGCATTGTCCTGCCTTCTGGTGATTCCTATAGATGAAAGGGTGTATTCATTTCAAAATGCAACTACAATTCCACGTGGATAAAAGTTCCAAAATGACACGTTTAAATAATGGCTTAAAATTTAAACAGAGCCCTAACAAGAAAAGGAATGGATACAGTTCCCATAGTAAAATATAGGTCCAACATGCCTATTCATAAAATAATAGACTGCTGTTGAAACATATCAAATTCAGAACAAATACACTTCAGGAAAATAAGTACAATCCCTAGTACCTACCTTAATAGACTTTTCAGGCTTTCAGCCAACAAACTAGCCCAGGTCTCCAGCTCTGTTAAATGAACTCAAATTTCTTTACACAGGAACGAGTTATCAAAAACATAATTATATAGAAGCGAATCTTCATTGTTCCAAACATTGATCTCTATTACTTTGTAATTTCCAAATTTATTTGGGTTAAATTATTGTACAAAATAATGTGAACAAAACAAAACAAAGCAGAAAAAGTAAATTAAAATCTGCAACAAAAGAATGAGAAACGGAATGTTCAAAGGTTTGTTATAGACAGAGTTTTGTCATTATGGCAGCACCTATGTTACATGGACTCTTCTAAATTTATTAAATGTTGTGTACGACACTCAGACATCTGTCTAAGGGTATGGAATATATGTTTGATATGTCTAATTGGTCATGCACCTAATGAGTATGTATAAATAGTTGATTTTACCAAATAGCTATGAATAAGACTACCATTTAATGCATAACATGCTCTGTGCTAATTTGTAAATAGCATTTTACCCTAATAAAATAAAATTTAATATTTAAAAATCATGAATCTAGCCATGTCCTGTTGTCCAAAATTTAGCCCTATCAATCACTCTAGCTAGAACATCCACCAGCAAAGTAAATAAGAAAAGGGATAAAGGATCCCCCAGTCTAAGGCCTCTAAAAGCCTTGAATGTAGCACCTGCCTTTCCATAACAATAACAAATAAAATTACACAAGGAAGCAACCATGAATCTACTTTCTCCACCCATCCATGATCATATACTTTTTTTCCAAATCAGACTTACAAATGACACATTCCTCACTATATCCTATGCATTCCTCTAATTTGCAATCAAAACCACATCCAAAATCTAATGTCCTTCAATAAAGGCCCATTAAGAGAAAGAAATGGTATCCCCAAAACTGTTCTCAACCTCCTAAACACTTTTGTCAATTTTTGAAAAGAGCTGTGACAAAACCTAATTGGTTTGAAATCCCCAATACTTAATCCCAAGGGGTTAACCTGGTGGCAAGGCCTTGGGTCTTGGGGGTGTGCTCCCTCCAAAATTCATGGATCAAAACCTCTTAGGTGCTAACAATTCCTTGGGGCCATCGGACTAGCGGAAAACCCTTGAATTAATCATGGAGCACTTGCAGAAAACTCCTTGCTAAGAGCTTGTGCACCCTAGAGATTAGTTAGGCTTTGATCCGAATAACCCGGTGCCAATCAAAATAAATAAATAAATCTCCATTACTTAAAAAAATTATCCTTGCTTTGGAATCAAACAAATAAAAGCATTTTGCAAGTATTTACTATGACATTCTCAAAAACTCAACAAAAAATTTCACCAAATCCCCATAACCAAATCCCAACAATCTTGAAAGACAACCATAGTGAAGCCATCGGGTGCCAGAGCCTTATCCCCAACACACTAAAACACTACCACCCTAATCTCCTCATTAAAATGTCTTTCTAACCAACTAGATTTATAAGCCTCAATTGGAAACAACTCCAAACCCTCAATGCACAACCACACCACTCGATGACATTTGACAACCACTCAAAATGAAAACAGAAACAAACAGGCCTGCACTGATATGTTCTTGTATCTAATGTCTAAGAGATGTCCCCATTTATAACATATATAACATTTTAATTACCTTCAAAAAAAGGAAATGAAATATACCTGCCACGTTCTCTGCATATTACGCATTCGCAAACTCTGCCTCTGAAGAACCTTTTCCATAACAGAGCCATCTAAGAAAGAATCGGGATCATCATCTGGATTTACATCTTCAACCTGATCAGTGGCCTTAGTGTCAACTGAAGTGCCACTGACCCTTTCAGAACTCAACTGCATTCTGTCAAGGTGTTCCTGCAGCAGACCCTCTACTCTCCTTTGCAAGCTTAGTGGGATAACCACCTGCGAAAACAGGGCACAAAAATTCAAATTATCCCATAAAGTGATGAAAGTATACAAATAAAGAATAAAATCCTTCTACCAACAACCAGTAGTTATTACCTCCCTTTGAGGCCGCTTGTCATCGAGATCTGGCCTATAATTGGGAAGAGGAACCTTGCTCGCAACCACCACTTTTCCATACAATTCACTGAACATGCAAATTGGACATCCAAGGAAAATTTTAGTGAATGCTAAGACATTATAAAACTACAAAGGAATATTAAATAATGGTTTCCCTACCAGTAAAGCCCCATCCTTTTGGCAAGGTTAGATATTTGCTCATAGTCTCTCCTATCTCTTTTATCTCTGGACACAATTTCCTGGTCCTTTTCATTGTGTAATAGCAAGTTAAGTTTCCAATTCCACTCATCAATGTTGGCCACAGAAGAAGATGCCTGCCATCAACAAAATGTTTAAGAACATAAGTTTCACAATTTTTACCTTCACGTCCAAATTATATACTAATAAATGCAAATTTATGATCAAATATTAATAAATACATAAACACATCAATAATAGGTTTATAAGAACCAGCACTTGTTTTAAAATCTTATCTTTTTACTAGCTATGACCCGTGTTTAAAGACAGCGCACCAAGAATCTTCCATAAAGTTCTTAGTTTCAAAAGACTTACACTATCTTTAGCGCCTATTGTATGCCTTCATCTCAGTCTCTGCAGAGGAGAAGGCACATAACTGAGAACAAGAGAAGTATAAAAATATGCATGACCAACAGTGGCTAAAAAAACTTGGGAAAAGAAAACAACCTAAAATCTTGAAGGCTGTGTTTGGTTATGTGTTCCAAACATATTTCCACCCACTAATTTGAGTGTGGTGTTTTTTTTTGAGTTTTCAAATTATAATTCCACACCCACTTTTGAAAACTCCTTTCCAGGCAGGAAAATTTGGCTAACCCGGACATCCGGCCGGTTGACCGGAACAGTGTTCGGTTTTTTTTTTTTTTTTTTTTTTTTTTTGGCACCTGTTATTTTTATATTGTAAATAAAAAATATTTTCGAAATTTTTTTAATTTTTAATGAGTTTTGAATAGAATTTTGGGTTGTGTATGGTTATGAGTTGCAAGTTTTTGAATCAAATAACTTTTCTAATTTCAAAAACTCAAAACTCCCTCCAAAACTCTTTTCAAAACTCATAACCAAACTAATTTTCCACACTCAAATCATAATTCCAAAACTCACAAACTCAAAATACAACTCTATTCTCAAATCATATTTAGAAAACTCTACCAAACGCTACCAAAATTTCTCTTATCTGAGACCCTGATATCTGTTTTTAGGAGGAGCCAAAAACACATTCTATCTTATATGTTTAACACTTACAGATACAAGAATGATAAAACACATTCTTTTGTCTGAATTCCTAAGAAGCACGGCGGACACTTCTAAGAAGGTAACGTGTCGTGTCCAACACCGACACGACACGACACGACACAACACTCGTTGGACACTTCCTAACACTTAGACACACATGAAACACATTACAAGTTTGAAAAAAAATAACTTGGTAACCCAAGATAAAACAAAAACAACGTAAATTTAAACATATTCTCCTCCTTTTGACTTCAAAAATTATTGTCTCTAACTTAAATATTCATATATATGACATAATAATTATTTACCCTTATATATGTCACATAATAAATATATAGAATATATATTTTGCACGTGTCATCCAAATGTCATGTTCTACATATTTTGAAAATTAACGTGTCAACATGTCTATGTCTTATCCAAGTGTCTATGTTCATGCTTCTTAGTTGGATTCTCTTTTCTATTATCAGCACCATTCATTACACAACAAATCAATCGATCAAGATTCAAGACATCCCATATTAAAATGAACTTTTGAATTCAGAAAAGAACTTTTGATTTCAAAGAAAACTTGAAAAAACATAAGATTCATTTTATTCCATCATCGTGTCATCATAAAATTCAAAATTACAAAAAGCTTTTGATTCTGAATGTTGCATTTGATTTTCATAAGGATCGCATTAACAATAGTGTGCAATTAAAGTCCGGCTGTGTCAGCAAAACACACTCTTTGTGGATCATCCTTATTAAACATCCATATTCCATAGAAACCTTTTTTTCTCACCGAAGCTAAGACAATTACTTGACTCAGTTGAGGTGAGCTCCCCATATCCCTAAATCCAAAAATCTCTCCGCAATTGATATATTTGTCTTTTTTTTTCTTTTTTTTTTTTGGCTAATCGAGAACCCATCCTAGGCAAGAGGGCCCTTTGAACCCAACCCACGAAGGTAAACTCAAGGTTCAAAAGCCACTCCCTAAGCCATTGAACTGGGCAACGGAAGGGGATTCAAACTCTCATTAGTAACAAGAGCGGATTCCAAAGTTGAGCTGAATTTTCCAAAATAGAAAGAACCACAAAAATCAGAATCCTAGTTTTCTTCTGTTCTCCTCCATTTATTCAACACAAGTTCACAATTGAACAACAAGTAAAGAATTTCAGACCCTACATTACATATATGGGAGGTGCTACTATATACACTTTGTAAACATGCATATGGTATGCACCCAAAAAACTAGCCACAATAATTATAACTTCCACCAAATTGAGTCATAACCAAAACACAAAATTGGTTCATAACCAAAACACCACAAAAACCAAGACAACTTGAGTTCAAAACAAAACATGACAAAATCTCATAACCAGACAACTTCTGTTCATAAATTGGTTCATAACCAAAACACCATAAAACCTAATAACCAAAGGCACAAGACAACGCCTGTTCATAAATTTGTCAATAACCATAAAACCTGAAAACCAAGCCCACTTGCACCCATAACCAGATACCACAAAGCACAGGCGAAACCAAGTTCACCCAAAATTTGACCACCACAAGGTCTCATAACTACATACATACCATAAAATTTTCATTTTCATACTATACATATATATGCATACACAAACAGCACATTGGACAAAAATATATAATTAAACAAAAAAAGGTAAATTCTAATATACACCCCTATAAAAAAAAAAAAAGAAAGAGTGGATCATAATTATACCATTTTTTCTTTAGTTATACCCAATTTTTTTTATTTTAGTTATGATTCATCAGTGCTTTAGTTATGCATTATGACATTTTTTTAGTTATTACTCGGAAAAGAATAATGCTAAGACGAGATGTAATACAATTTTATAAATTTTGGATATTTATAGTTTGTATAAGAATAATGCTATATGCACCCGTTGGAATACATGGCATAATTTTAGAGATTTTAAATATTTGTAATTTCTATAATGGCGGGGTACATAAGTTATGTTGGTACATTAGTTGCAGTTGGTATACCAATTAGGACATGTAGCACCACCCTTTGTATAATAGGTGAGATCAACAATTTTAAAATAACAATGTCATGGCATATGCTGGTAATTAATATACTAATTGGTACGGGTAATACCTCCGCTCAGAAAATTGAAATTATGTCATGCACCATAGTGTTTCCCAAGAAAATAATATGTAAAAAAAATAGTAGGAAGTTGTTAGGAGATGGAAAAACCTTATGATTGTCGTAGTCGCATTCATACTCGTCGTCTGAGAACTGCTCAGCGGCGTAGCCGCAAAAAGCTCGGCGACCCGAGAATAAAAAGGTAGAGAAAATTCTGGAGAGAGAGGGAAAGGCGTTATTGGAGGTGGGAAGAGCAGGAAACGAGAACAAGTCCTGATCTGGCCTAGCAGTTGCAAACCTCCTCCTTTGATTGGACAAGAAGAGAGCATGAAGAAGCGAGGATTGTTTGCCACATGCTGCTGCTAAGAGAAACCCTAGCCTCGAATTGGATTTGGAGTTCATTTTGGGGGCATGGCATTGGCTTATTCCACAGTGAAGATGAGCAGTCTGTTTACAGTTTATACCTGTTAAATGCAGAACAGGTTGTTCAAAGTACAAGACTCGATCGCCACTTTACTTAGGTGCTACTAATCGTGTGCTTGAAGGGCTAATTTCCCTATTCCCACTCGTGTTTCCTTATTTTCATTACAGGGTAAATTTTCATTACAGGGTAAATAGTTTTATCTATGAATCGAAAAAAAAAAATAGTTTTATCAAAGCCGTTTTCTTAAAAATGACTTTACCAATGTCGTTTTTTTTTTTTTTTTGAATAAAAAATAACTCTACAAAATTAGCTTTTCAAAAGTCATTTTTATTTAATGTGTAATTAATTTTAAGTTAATAAAAAATAGTTTTTATAAAATCATTTTTTAGTAATATTTTTTTCTAATTTATATTTTCTACATAAATATTATCTGCCAAAAATATCTTAATTCATGAAACGGTTTTACCAAAACTGGTTTATAATACGGCTTTATGAATGCCGTTTTTTAATACGGCTTTACGAACACCATTTTCATAAAAAATACAATAAAATAAATAAATAATGTGTTTTGTTTTGGGTTAAAAGTGATATACTCCAACAGTCCGAAACACACCCACACACTCTGCAGTTCAACAAAGAACGACGAAGAGAAATACGCGAAGAGTATCGCGGATAAGGCCAAAAAGATGAAGGGCACCGCGAGTGCTGTAGGAAGAACGAAGAAAACAAAGACCTCAAAATATCCTCGCACCTCTCTCTTCCATCATCAACATTGAGGTTTGTTTTGGATAAATTAGGGTTTTCATATTTGATTGGGAAATTTCAAGTTCAAAATTAGGTTTGTTTGGGACTCTAGACATTGATAGTAGATTGTTTATGTTGTCATGTCTGAGATTGTAGTTGTACTGTACCCTGACCCTCATCCTTTGAACCCCAAGCAACAGCGGTTTTGGACTGAGATAGGTGTTATGCTTCTTGTGGTCTAGTAGAGAATTTATCCTGTGTCTGTACTGTATTGGCCCCCTTACCAAACGACCGACTTTGCCTTTCTTTTCAACCCCTAATTTTTGCTTTCTGTGAAGCACCCATTCCTTCCCAGAACCGCAGTGTCAACGAACCATTCACTTGCCTTTGAGATTGTTTTTTCAGCTCCAAATTTGTTTTTTGTGAACCCCCCATTGCTTGACTTCCCATCATTGTGGTCCTCATTCTGACTGGACTTCTAGGAATTGAATGGTAACTCTTATTATTGTCCCGATGGAGAGGCACAGTGAAGGGAAGTTTTTTATTCAACTGCCCATTCACATTTGTTGTGTCTTTATTGTGGGCACTTCGTCTGTCTGAACTTTATTAGTCCCCCAACTGGACCAACCACTTGGCTTTGAGCTTGTTTCTCCAGCCCCCAAGTTTAGTTTTCTGTCAACCCCCCATTTCTTACCAGAGTCATCATCCTTATTGGACTTCCTAGAATTGAATGGTGACTCTATCTTCTTGAGTTTCAAAGATTGAAATTCTATACCTAGACCATCACTATTTGAAGAATCCTAGTTAAGGGAAGCTTTTGACTAAGATTGACTAAGCTACATGTTCCGTTTTCTGTGTTGTTGTCTTTAGCATCTTGTCCCAATTGAACATTCCCAATTAATTTTATACCCTTAACCACGATCTTGTCTGATTGACGGTCACATTTCTTATAACCCAACTCAATACCATTAAGCAATCTCGCCACACCTTTATGATCAAATTTAATGTCCCTTAATTGTTCATCGTACAGCTGCAACTTTCTTACTCCCCTCTTAGTCTTCTTAATATAATGGGGAATATTGTGCATGACCACAGTAACTCCACTTATATCCGCTGACCACCGTTTTTCTTGACCTCTAGTACGCAAGGGGAGTCCGATACTGGCTGCCCATACCTCATTCCATTTTTTATAAAACACTCCAAATCTTTTATCCTAGAAATTCTACAGATTCTTTTACCTCTACTAACCCTTCTGTTCAGACACCTTAGCTTTGATATTTTTTCCCTCTGCTTCTCGTACCCACGAACAAACTTTGCTGGAGCTAATCGCCGCCTCTCTTCCCACAATCTTATTTGCCACGTCAAAAAACGATCTACACACATTTGAGTGAACTGCCCGTAATTATTGGGATACTCTTCTAAGGAGTACAACATTGTATACCAAAACAATCAACAACAAAAAAAGACTAAAAATGAGAGAGAAAACAAGGTACCAGAAAACAACTTCACTACAATAGCTATCCCACTACAAAAGCATATTCCTCTCTGCTATAAAATGTTTTCTGGTACCAAATATATAGCAAAACTAGCCCGCATGTAAGGACGAAGATTCCCCATTCAAAATAATTCATACACATTTATTTTTCAGCCTTTGCTTTATGTCTATCATTCTGCAATAATATTTACTTTACAACCATGCAAACCACCAGAAAAGCGACATGCGTATAGCACTATCTAGCAAAGGAATCAAAAGTACTCACACCACTCACACCTGGGCTCGGGTGTGACTTCCTTTTAACCACATCCATACACGTATCCATAAGTACAGCAACAGAAGGCCCAAATCAGCGGAAGGGGGGGCGCTGGTAATATTAATACGGCACCCCCCAGTTACACCACTCACACCATTTACACCAGGTTTTTTAACTAATAGAGAGGCCTTGTACGGCTGGTGTGAGTTCACTGTTTACCACTACAAAATGCATCTCCAAGCCTCTTTCCGTTTTTATGCCAAGAATGTTTTCCTCACCTACCCACAATGCCCATGCCCATGCCCAAAAGAACAACTCTTAGAACACCTCCAATCCCTTCTTCAACTAGCATGTCAGACATACTACATACTTGTCGCAAAAGAGATCCACGAATATGGAAACCCTCACCTCCATGCCATGGTTCAATGCACGAAGAAGATCCAAACCTCCAACCCGAGATTTTTTTATCTCACTGGAACCAACGGCAGAATCTATCATCCAAATATAAAAAAACTCCACTCGTCAACAGCAAGTCGACAGTATATATAGAAAGGGGGCAAGTTCGTCGAATGGGGAGAATTTTCATCTAAGGGGGAAAGTCCTTCGAAAAACAGAGACGAACTATGGACGGGAATACTTGGAGAAGCAGAAACGGAGGAACACTTCTTTGCACTCTGTAAAGAAAGTTGTCCCACCGATTACGTCACAAAATACCCCCAATTAAAAACATTTTCGAGGGATCATTACAAAAGAGACAGGCCCCCGTATACTAGCCCCTTTAATTCATTTTCTTTCTTAAATGAAAAAGTAAAAAAATGGGCAGAAAATAATATTTTGCTTGTAAGCCAAAATTTCGTTCAGTACGAGTTATGTCAAAATTGTTGTCTCTAAGTTTTGAGGGAAGACGGCTTCCTTAGATTAGGGATACATAAAAATAATATCAACAATTTATATACTTACGAAGAACTCTCCTCCTCTTCTGATAACAGGAACCAGAACAGCCCATCCGCCCAGTCTCCCTCTACCTCGAAGGACCCTCAAGAATAGGCAAAACCGGTTGTGCCAGAAGCCACGAACGACACAATTACTTCACCGGCAGAATAAGCTTCAAGGACTACGATGGAGGTGAGGATTTCCATCATCGTGGAGCTCTCATGCGACAAGTATGTAGTATGGCTGACATGCTAGTTGGAGAAGGGATTTGAGGAGTTCTAAGAATTGTTCTTTTGGGCATGGGCATTGTGGGTAGATGAGGAAAACATTCTTGGCATAAAAACGGAAAGAGGCTTGGCGAGGCATTTTGTAGTGGTAAACAGTGAACTCACACTAGCCATACAAGGCCCCCCTATTAGTTAAAAAACCTGGTGTGAGTGGTGTGACTGGGGGGCGCTGTATTAATATTACAAGCGCCCCCCCTCCCGTTGATCTGGGCCGTCCATTGTTGTACTTATAGATATATGTATGGATGTGGTTAAAAGCAAGTCACACCCAAGCCCAGGTGTGAGTGGTGTGAGTACTTTTGATTCCTTTGCCAGATAGTGCTATACACGTGTCGCTTTTCTAGTGGTTTGCGTGGTTGTAAAGTAAATATTGTTGCAAAATGATAGACATAAAGCAAAGGTGGGAAAATAAATGTGTATGAATTATTTTGAATGGAGAATCTTCGTCCTTACACACGGGCCGGTTTTGCTATATATTTGGTATCAAAAAACATTTTATGACCGAGAGGAATATGCTTTTGCAGTGGGATAACTATTGCGATGAAGTTGTTTTCTGGTACCTTGTTTTGTCCCTCCTATTCATTCTTTTTTTGTTGTTGATTATTTTGGTATACAATGTTGTACTCCTTAGAAGAGTATCCCGAGAATTACGGGCAGTTCACTCAAATGTGTATAGGTCGTTTTTTGACGTGGCAAATAGGACTGTGGGAAGAGAGGTGATGGTCAGCTCCGACGAAGTTTGTTCGTGGGTACAAGGAGCAGAGGGAAAAAAATATCAAAGCTAAGATATCTGAACAGAAGGGTTAGCAGAGGTAAGAGAATCTGCTGAATTTGTAGGATAAAAGATTTTGAGTGTTTTATAAAAAAATAAAAGAATGTATGGGCAGCCAGTATCGGACTCCCCTTACATATCGGAGGCCAAGGACACCAGCAGTCAGTGGATATAAGCAGAGTTACCGTGGTCGTGCACCTTTTAAGGCGGCGTATGTTCGCCGATGGTATGTTTAGAATATTCCCCATTATATTAAGAAGACTAAGAAAGGAGTAAGGAAGTTACAGCTGTACGATGAACAATTAAGGGACGTTAAATTTTATAATAAAGGTGTGGCCAGATTGCTTAATGGTATTGAGCTGGGTAATAAGAGATGTGACCGTCAATCAGACAAGATCGTGGTTAAGGGTATAAAATTAATTGGGAATGTTCAATTAGGACAAGATGCTAAAAACGAAGCTGTGGTCCACCACATATTGTTTTTCATCATAAGTGATAATAGTCCGTCAGATTCCGTCCCCACACCTGACAAGATATTTATTGAAGTTAGCGAGGGTAATCCTGAAACTTGGATTGTTGATCCTGACCAGTCCGACCGGTTTTGGATGCTAAAGAAAATGAGATTCAAGCTAGTTGGTGG